GCATCCGTCTCACCAAGATTGATTTTGGATTAACAGAATGACAAGAGAGTAATGTTTATTTCGAAAAACTTAGTTCATATTTATATTATGAAAAAAGAATGTTTAAAATTTGTGAATACAAAGCGAAGCAAAAGATGAAATTGTTAGAATAGAAATCAAGAAATAAAAAGAAAAAACACAAAAAAGTATTTAGTGAATGCAATTGATGACAATAAAACAAATCACAAAAAAGCAAATCATTATAGACAATACATGGCTAAGAGACTGATGGGCTCCGATTATGTCATCTACTATATTTGGTATGTTCTTTACATGTCAGAAGTACTAAGCAATATAACATTTTAAAAAGTGATCTTAAATTTAAGCTAACGGAGAATGAGAACTCTTTCAGTGTAAAAATGTTTGAATGTTTTTTTTTCTAGGAATTTCTGTTTACCCCGTAAAACCTTTCACGTACTTTTTTCTATAGAGGTACACTGCGGTATTTCCTTTATCACCAGCCGTTTTTCTTAGAATTTCTTCGGTTACAAAATGCGTGAGCAATTCAGCACCTTGAGGAGAGTTAATATCTAACCGCTCACAACGTCCTGATGTTCCGTTTGCAATTATTTGAAAATTGTTTTTTGCACCATCATGAAGATAAAATGTGTGCACAGGAATATTTTTAGCCTTCAGCGTTTGCAGTTCATCCATGTAATAGGTTGGTGTTTTGTACCTAGTTCTACTCCAATACGTTTCACCGCCACTAGCATTTCTGTCCCTAGCTATTGCTGGTCTTTCTTTTGCCGGTGCGTCTCCTATTAAAATGACTTGAGATATGCTATCTGGCTGTTCACTCTGCTGAACCGCATGCCATAGTCCTATTTCAATCGCTTCTTCATAATCACCGCCCCCCATAGGAGCTATCGGTATCATAAAATTTCTCAAGTTGCTCGGTTTAGTTTCCCAAGGAGAACTCTGAAGAATTCCATCTTCTCTACAATCGTAATCTCTATATACGACAAACTGCAATTGAAATGCATCACTAGGTAATGCTAGGTTATTTAAAATGCCCGCAGCTCGTTCAAACATTGTACAGACAGTTTCTTTGGCAGCAGATAGTAAACTTGCCATAGAACCGGTGGCATCCATAAGCAAAACTGTACGCGATGAGGCTGTTACTAAATTTGCTCCTTGATTTTGATTCTTTAAAAATTCTTTCACTGCTACAATATTACCCGTATTTAAAGCTGCCATGAAACTTTTCGAAGCGTTGTGATCTCGTTTGCGTTGCTCTATGCCAACTTCTTTGCTATTACACTTACTGTCAAAAATAGCGTTACGAGCCTTATTCAAATTTTCATAAAGCGTACTACCCAATATTTTTGGCAGTTCAGTCTCCCAAGAAGCACCAAGAACCCACTCTAAGTCTCTATCTAACAAGATCATTCTATATGAACCCAAATCTCCTTGTCGTGCTCCTCTTCCCATAATCTGATATTCTTCGGATAATTCTTGGGAGAAGAATACTTGAAGCACATGGATACCACCATTAGCTAAGAGTTGCTGATTATTGCAAATAAAGTCGGTTCCTCGACCAAATGTCCGAGTCAATAGTGTCACTTTTTCGATGGTCGCTGCACGTTTTATATAAAGCTCTCGGTTCTTTACAGATACTTTCTCCGTTATTATTTGGACGCTCGTTTTGATTGATGATAACTCAGAAGAAAGATAAAATTTCATTAGCTTATCTTCAGATTCAAAAAAAACAAGGATCGCACGTTTCGCACGGCATATCACATCGATTTCTCCACGAATTTCCATGAAATACTCTGCTTTCTTCACTGCACGTACATCACTTGCACAATTGTAGTTACGTCTGCATTCTCCGAATACTGATGGCATATATGTACTTTTGCACACCTCATACACTTTTGCAAGTATTTCTTTTTCTGCTCTAGCAAGCGTCTTTAAAGTACCAGTTACACCAGTGATATAGGCAAAATCGTGGGGCATTTCCGCATAGGAGAAGGCTCCACAGTTTACTATAATGCCCACATTCGCCTCTAAACTGCTCGAACTAATTTTACCATTTTTATTTTCATGATAATACGCCCAAATCGTATCATAGCCACGAACTACATTCTCTGATATAGATTCACCATCGACATAGACAATTCTATCATTCTGAACAAGATAAGACGATGATTCAAAAGATTGTAAAGAAGCAATCATGTCCTTGATAGCTTCATCCAGAAGAAAAGTCCAGTTACTGAAATGAGAAGCACATGCAGCATACGCCGGCATTGCTTTGATACCATTTAAGGTTCGTATAGTCCTATTCGCCCAAATTGTATCTAATAATGTTTTTATCGCAGAGTGTTTCAGATATACGACAGGTGTGTAAACTCCACCATAGTATTCATCGCTTAGAAAAACGTCAACTTCATCAATCAACAATACTTTCGGACGTATGCGTTTTGTCTCTGTAATTATCTCTAAAGCACTTTTGTTTTTCAGGATCATATCACGCACCTTCTCTCGTACGTCGCATTGCTCATTCAATAAATTTTCGCATAATTTGTTAAAAGTACCATACTCGATATGTTCTTTTATTCCAAGCGCTCCAAATAATGAAGCAAACGCCTCTTTATCTCGAGTGCTTAGAACGTCACTATAGCAGGAACAATTTACGTCAACTCCGATGAGAGCAAAAACGCAGGCAATGGCTGACATTATCACTGATTTACCTTCTCCTGTTCCTACCTGTACTAAATTATTAAATAAATTTCTAGAGATCCCAGTAGTTTGATAACCAATACCAAGAATACGAAATATAGAAATAACCTGTGCAACATGCGGTTTCAACAGGTACGCTTCGTCAGACCCAATGCCGCGTATCGCATTGTAGTGTTCAGTATTTTCCAAAGTCCAAATGACAAAAATATGCGCGAGTAACTCAGGAACTTTGTCCTTGAAACTTTGATTCAAACTAAGGGATGTGGAGTTTGAGGCTACTTTGTCCACAAAACATATAGTATTAGAAATCAATGTGTTTAGTGAATCTTTCTGGCTCGCTTGATCACAGGATAATAGATTGCTCAATAAAAGATCATCATACTTTTTCTTAAATGTCAGAAACCGTCTCCTCAACATATCTTTATCAAGATCGTCTCCTTCTAAACGTTCTAGCACATAATCTAGATCATCCTGCTTTTGCATTTTTGCATTACGCTTTCGCCAATCTTCTCCTTTCAAAAGAGCGTGCTCAGACATTACCCTCTGACCGATATCTGTTCTTTCTAATCTCATACTCAAATCGGTGATATATCTGGCACCATGGTTTTCTTTAAACTTTTTAAGGGCTTCATCTATGCCTGTATTGATTTGACTATCAAACATCGGTAGATTTTCAGCAAATGATTTTACTGCGACTAACGCCTCAGTGGCTTTTCCTAGATCTTTGCCAGAATTTGCAAATTCTTTACAAAACGATGTTACTTTTTCGAAAACTTTTGCTGTGGATGTGTCTACAGTTGATTGAGCCTCCACATCTGGAAGACTTAAATGTTTATCAAAAGCTATAAGATGCTCGTAATACTTGCGAAAATGATCACATTCTACTTGATTAAGTTCGGGTTTTGATGCAGTATCAAGAAGCTGTTTGCCAATTTTCTTAGCTTTCATTTTGAGATTCTCTTCTGACTCCTTTGCATTGACGGGAGTTGGCAGGACATCTTGAAGTTTAGCATCAATTTCTTTTAATTTACTGATTGATTTCTTAAGTTGACTGAAAAACTCTTCACGTTTGGCTTCAAATTTGGTGGTTTCATCACTAATAAGTTCAACATCTAGTTGAGCCTTTAAACAACTTATTTCCTTTGTAATCTCAGAAATCATATCAGTATGTATGACTACATTTTGAACGTCTGGAAACAAACTTTTCGTCGCACCATCTTTCATGGAATAGTCCTTAACCCTATCCAAAAGTTTTTCCCATTTCTTGGATATGTTCATAACTGTATGTAAATTATCAACGGCCATTTCTTTAAGGGCGTCCTTATAGATTTTAGAATTTTCTTCGAAATACTCTCGCATTATCTTGAGATCTTTTGTACAGTTTTGTATAGCAGTTTCTGGTAAAAATTCTCCGTCAGTAGTGTCTTGCTTACGGGAAAAATCGACACAAGCAATTGCATTGCTGAGCGCTTTTTCACCAATTTCTGGTTTCTCAATCTTTGATATCTCAGCCAGAACTTTCGAGCAGCGTTCAAACCTTTCTATCGTTGATTTACGAGTAGTGTCATAGATCTCCTTTATTCCTGGAATATAACGAGATACAGATGCTTTAAATTTGATGATCTTGTCCATGATACCAAGAGCAGACTGCATATCATTCTCATCTAAAGAACTTTGCAAGTTTATTCGATATAAGTGCAACCTTTTTAAAATTTCTTCGTTCATTTTTTCAGAAAATTCATCCATCTCTTTCTCCTGAAATTGCTTGGCAAGTGCTCCTATTCTTGTAATGGTATGATCGTTTTCATCTGAAGATTTAAGAGAACTCTCCAACTCACGCTTATATTCTTGTTCTTCATTCTTGATGGTCGTAGTCATTTCCTCAATATGTGCTTTGAATGCAGCTTGCAAGTCATCTGGTATAAAACATAACGCATGATTTATGGGACGTAGTTTCGCAGAACGCTGCCTCATGGGAACTTTTCCAACTTCATCTATTGCCTGGCTAAAATTCTGCCGCAGTTTTCCTAACAGAGAGTTGTAAGCTTGCTGGTATTGGGGTCTACGTGTCAACACTTTTTTTAATTTAGCTAAGAGATCTCTGGGCGGTCTCTCAAAGTACTTGTCAACATTGCTAAAGTCATTCTGATTCGGAAGATTCCTAGCCAAGTTATCTAATTTCTCTTTCAATTCTTTAGTCTTATCAATAACTTCCTGTGATGTAACGATACCTTTGAGATCACGATGCACGTTGCCGATGTTTTCAATCCCTTCTTCGGCCTCGGTAAAATTATCATTATCCATGTATATTTCAATTGAACTAAGTCCTTTTAAAATAATATCAGATAGAATTTGGTCGATTTCAGTTTGAAAGTTTTCAAGAACACTTTTAGTTTTTCCTTCTAAAAGATCCATAAGATTACATTGAGTCAATGCTATTCGAATTATTTCAATATTATCTATAATCTCTTTTATCTGTCCTTTATTATCTGCCTCTCTTTCGATTTTTCCATATAGCCACTGTGCCGTGCATTTCGTATCCTTCATCAGCTTGATTAACGAACTTTGCAGTTCGTATTCTATCTGCCTTTTCGCCTTCTTATTTAAGGGTTGATCATCAATGTCAGATAGCATTCTACCTGCATTTGCATAGTCGCATTTAGATATGTAGTTTAATGTATTCCTGTACGCTTCTTTAACATCCTTATTCATATCTAATTGGTATTTTCTGTGTAAGTCACTAAATCGAGTGTCACCACGAAGTCGATCCAAACAACTCAATGCGTGCACGATAACTAATTGCTTTTTTAGGTTTTCGCTCTCACCACGAATTTGATATTCTTCCATTGTACGATCCAAAGTAACATAACAATCCATGATTTCTCGCTGCCAATGTGCTATTGTCTCGGCTCCTTTCACACATTCGAAAACTTCAGGAAAGTTTTTGAGTGAAGATAATTCTTCTAAACGAATGTATAGTTCATAAGAATACTGCAAAGGACCTCCTTCAACTTCACTATTTTTTGCATTCTGATCTAGTCTAGCTATTTCTTGATTCAGAAAATGCCCATATTCAGTTATATATTTTTGCAAGATCCCATTAGTTTCAATTGCGGTTTTTTTAACCTGAGTATCTCCTACTTTTTCGCATTGAATTACATACAATAATGCATTATTGGCAACAGAACCATCAAATCTACCACTAAAGTCATACATTTGCTTATACTTCTCACGTTCAGAAATAATTTTCTTCTTCTCTTCAATTTCTACGTTCAATGATTCAATGCTGTGTTGGTTTTTCTCTTGAAGATATTTCGTTCCTTCAGAAGAAACAGAATTGCTTCTTACTAATAACAATGAATTATATTTTTTTCTTATTTCTTCAAGCCGATTTAATGTATCATTCAATGCTCTACAACTCTCTTGAATTAGTTGTAGTTTCTTGTCATATGCTTTTGTGATGCTCAGGTTATCTGCATACAAGTCGTCTATTTTTGAAAACCCGTGCTTCTCTAAAC